CTAGCTAGATCAGTGAGACAGTGACTAAACTGGGGCCATGAAATGACAAAAATGTGAGATTAGGTTTCCATCTTCAAAAATGTACTTATGTACAACAAGAACTCATCATTCCTATAACATATTCTACACATATGACGATAGGCCGAAACTATTTCTGGACTTACACAATATAAGTCTTCTTGAGTCCTTTCCTGCCACGCCGCCTCTTCAGATTGGATGCATCAGTCATGCGATTCATAGCGTTGAGAATTTCCTCATCCTCGTTGTTCCACAGTATTCTCGATTTATCAGGGTTTTCTAACAGCTGCTTGGCCACGAGAAAACCGGCAATGGTCCATGTCTGAAAAAGCCGAGACTGCTTCCCGATGAATCGTGCACGTTTGGTATCGTAGTATTCAGGCCATTTATCATTGGCAATACGTCGCTCAGCAACCTCCACAGCTTTTGCTGCAATCTCTGACCGGTCCACCTTGATACATGCTACTGTGAGCTGCAAATGAGGGGTTGATTGGAAACTTTAAACAGGAGGAAAAAACTGGTTCCAATATTCAAACAAAACATGGACAAGGTTTCATTTTTCATGGCACTAAACTGGACAAATGAACACTTATCAGCAATGAAACACAAGTACCTGCCACAATAGTGTTGGCCAGGAACCTCCATTATGGTAAGACCAAGCCCTGCATTGAAAGAGAAAAAAAACAAATAAGATGAAATCCAAACAGTCTAAATTACACGGGTTACATGATAATCATAGGGCTCACGTATTTTTAGGGTCGCTCCCTGTAATGAATTTCCACTCCTGATCCTCAAGAGCAGGATAGCATATCTTCATTGGCATATCCGCCACTAAATCAGACCATTTGGCTTCAACCAGATCCAAAATAGCATCAGACTGGTGGGATGTTGCCAAACTACTTACTATTGACCACAAGTTCCCAAGAGAAAAGAACCGAAAATCCATATGAGCTGGCTGCAGGTTTCCAATGAAGTAACCCCCTTTAGGAGGGATCCATTCAACCAGCCAGGGAGGAATCTGATCTGGATATATGTTAAACTTGTTGACAGCGTCATAAGAATACTCCTCTGTTTTGTATCGATATATCTCATTTAGCTTTCTCTTGTCAAGCCAATAATACTCTCTGATATGAAAAGAGAGTGCAATAAGCCTGCTATTTAGGGCACGAATCAAGTCAGCTGATCCATCTTCTGGGGTAAGCATCTCACGTGCACACAAGAGAGCTGAATAGAAAAGTGCCTACAAAAGAAAGGAAATATGAACATCATGTATAAATTAGTAGCAAACGTATAATGCCCCATTTCCCGAATGACATTTGCACACTGTAGTCCTATATGTGCTGTTATAGAGCAGAACTGTAATTGTTGCAAGTCCAGCATGTAATAAATACCATAATTCAAAATGCATTTACTGCCTAACTCCGATCATATAAGTTTGCTTTGCTATATGAACTTATGATATTTCACTCTGTTAAATTTTCATGCTACCTGAATTTCCAATGGGTGTCCATGGATTCCCATTCGACGATCTATCATGCATGAGCCATCAGTAACAAGCAAGGTGGGAAACATGTCGAAGCCATCAGCTAAGCAGAGCTTCAAGATCATCTTTATTCCAGTCTGGACATCAATTCTCTCCTGAACCGACAGATCGCCTGAACATTTTCCGTATGCTCTCAGCAATATGATCCACCATAAACCTGAAAACCATTGTTAAAGTGCCACATCTTTATGCTGTGCGCAAAATAGGAGATAAGGAACGTCATCTATACCCACCAGAATCAACTGGTGCCACACGTCCTATTGCAGCCTCCCCGAAATCAGGATCCAGGACTTCCTCAGTTACATCATCGTCCCCGTCAAGTGGAACAACACGCACCTTGAAACTTGCTGGCATCAACCCTTGACCTGGACTGTGGCAGTCCATCGTTTTCTCCCAGCTCTGCAGATGTTAACAATCAGATTTAAGAGAAGAAGATCTCCAGATTTAAATATTGGAAACACATGACTTATTTAAGCAAGAAGGTGCTTAGAAACACAATTCTTGACACTACTGTTAAGTGGGTGGTGACTTCAGCAAATGAAAGCATGTCTATAGCAATCTATGCAACTCGATGTATAAAATTGTTGCGATTCTTTTGGTAGGCGGTTCCTCGTTGGCTAGTCCTTCTGCAGTCACTATGCTGGCCATAATTGCAAGTATAATTACATTTGCTTCTTTACTTCTCACTTGTCAATTTCAAATCATCCCTCTTCACTACTACTAGTACTACTAGTATGCAGTACAATTATTAGGAGCATCACCATCAATTGCATAAGCATTAGTGATTAGTCCTTCTCTTTCGACAGTTTGGGACCCAACCAAAAATCTAAGAGCGAGTGTTGAGACACGAAAGGGCGGGTGATCACCTGGAGCTGGAGGGTGTGCAGGATGAAGTTGCGGACGATCTCGTAGTCCCCCTTGAGCAGGAAGGCGATGCCCGAGGGCACGAAGTCCCGGATGAACACCTGGTCGTAGTTGAGCGGGCTGGCGTCGTTGGGGTCGCACGCGGCGATCGTGCCCACGGGGCTGCCGCAGTAGCGCACCACCGACTCCCGGAGCAGCCCCCACGCCTCGTCCTCCACGTCATGAGGCCCGCGCCTCTGCCTCCTCTGCGGCGCCTTCGCCGGCGCCTCCGCGGGAGCGGGAGCTGGAGCCGGAGCGGCGCCGTTGACGCTCCTCCCGCCCGCCGCCTCGCCGCCTGGCCTCTTCACGGCGTGGTCGTGGCGCGGCCCCGGCAGCGAGCTGGGACACGGGGGCCTCCCCTTCCTCCTCCCCCACCGCCTCGACGCGGGGCACCACGCGAGGCGCAGTGGCGGCGCGACCACCCGCGCGATCTCCATGGGGAGCGGCTGGCTGGCTGGCTGGCTAGAGCTTGGCTTCTCGGGGAGGTGATCAGGTGAGGTGTCCGGTGTTCTAGGCTGACACGGCGGCCGTCAACCTCGCGTCGTGGTTTGTTCGTTCGCTTGCTCCGGTGTTGGGATGGCAGTGGCGCGCGCGCGGGCGCGGGCGGACGACGACGAGGGAGGGGGTGGGGGATGGGAGGGGAGGGGAGAGAGCGAGGGGATCGGAGGTGGAGCCGAGAAAAGCTACACATGTCCACGCCGCGCGCGCGATGCTTCCCCCTGCCTCCACGCCACGCCACGCCACGCAACGCAACGACGCCCGCTTTGGTTGGCAGCGACTCCGACTCCCCGTGACCGTCGAACGCTCGAAGCGCACGTAGCGTGAGTGAACGTGACAGGTGGGCCAGCCGTTACTGCCCGGGAACGCCTCTGCGTTCAGCTCAGGTTGGCCCAAAACCTACCGATCAGGCCCAATTTGATAGCGAGAACGATCTGGCTCAAGTTGACAGAGCAGTGCGAAACACTCTTAGGAAAACGTGTGCACCAGCTGACTCCCTCTATCTTAAAGAAAAAGCTAACACAAAGTATATCCAAATTATAGAAGTTTATTTCTTTTTAAGGACGTTGAGAGTAGGTCCAACCTGATAACCACATACGCCGGGTTTAAACAAAAAAAGATAGGAAAAATGTGTGCAGCCAAAAACTATGAATCATTACCACCGACTAAGAATTTGCAATCTCTGCATGCAACTAGCATATGTAACTGATTAAAAAGTAGGAACGTACACGCACTATATGCAGGCAAAGGTGTTAGATCCTAACAAGTCAATTGACAGTATTTCCCACCTAACGCTGTTAAACCGCGCAACAGCACCAGACTTTCTCTATCCAGTTTCATCATACAAAGAACCTTTTTCAACGGGCCCCGTCCTCATGATCATTGTCGTTGTCACCTTCATAGTACTCGTCATCGCGATGAATCTGCTTGTCTTGGGTATGCTCTGCGCAACATTTTACACAGTTAATGTATAAGGACGATATAAAGTTCAAAGGTCTGAAAACAACACGAAGAAAGGACTAGCATAATGTGGAACACACAACATATACTAAAAAAAACAACTGTCTGCCGTTCGTTTTCTTGGAACAGCAGACACCCAGACATATTAGCATCCTAATGCATCCCAGGAGTATTTCACTTACGATCTACACGTTCATCAGGATCCAGCTCATCTTCATCAATATCTGGGATATAAAAATCTGGTGGAACCTGCAAAAATGTTAATATTGTTCTTGTTCAGAAATATGTTGAACGAAGAAAAAGATAGGCAACAAAAGGAAAGGAATATTATAGTGTCCTGCTTGTATCCCTTTTTTTTACATAGCAAATTCCAGTTGGGAGGTTTCCTCGTGTAAGTGAATCAAAAACTAACCTCTTGCATCTGAACACCAGGCGCATGTTGTATGGCCCGCAAACTCTCCATGACTTGCACTTTGATTGAACTTAGATATGACTTGCTATTCAAGTTGTCCTGCTCCGGTTAAAACACAACATGTGATATGGCATTTGCACATTCTCAAGAAAGGAACGCAAGTTCTAAACTTCTAGCAAACACAAACCAATTGAATAGCCGAAATACCAAATGGACTACAGAGCTCAAATGCTTAGACCATACTCAGTAATAAAAGGACAGTTACTTGATGCACCTAATAGCAATCAAATATCAATGCACCAAACAACCGTAGGACAAACAAAGGCCAATGAGAAAAGGTTCCATACCATGTTCACATTCGATACTTTCAATGTATAATCTGGAGCAAAGTATTTGATGTATTCATTGTCTGGAATTTCTGCAAAGGAAAGTCATGCAAAACTCATATCACAGACTGCTGTTTTAGAAATTATTAAGGAACTCTACTAGTCAATCCCGTTCTTGATAGATCTGTTTGCAACTTGATATGCCAGCAAATGTGAGGAAAAGAATACATGAACTGTTGCATGCATTTGAGGGATTACTAGTAGTGTCCTCTAAAACAACAGGCCAAAAGGACCGAGAAGTACAGAATTGCAAAAGAAAAGAATACCATTTGGGAGCTCCGTATCTAGAAGAACACCAGTTTCAACAGCCCAACAGCGTGCTACATTCTCTTTTGTGTATCCACCACCCCCAGTCACCTGCATGATGGGAAATACATTGATATCCAAGGAGGAACAAGAGAAATCACACGCAGTAACGGTTTCTCCTTACCAGTAGAGGGATATTGAATTTCTTGACAAACTTCACACATTCAGCATGGCCTGTTTGCAAGTACACATGCAAGTATTAAAAGATCATTCACTAAGTATAGCTCAAAGAAACAAAATTTAAATTTCAAAATAAGTCAGAACTATTAGTGCAATAACAATCTCAAAACTATGGTAAGAAATAATTGAGACTTGAGAGAAGGTTTCACATTATCTCGAAGATACCGCCTGAACCCTAATAGCTCATCCAAGAATATGCAGCACAGTTCACTAACTTTACATCTAGAGCACAGTTCTGCTGAATCAACAAGTACACATCAGATTTAAGAAGTACAGAACCTTCAATGGACAGATTGAAGCACCCCAGACGGTCCCGTGCCAAGGAATCAGCCCCGCATTGAAGAACAATAGCACCTGGCAGATATGTCTCAACAACTTTGGCAATAACCTACATAATAGACATGCATAACTTGATAAGACTAAACAATGACATGAAAGATGAGAAAGTAATGTAAAGTGGGCTTACTGTTTTAAAAAGGCGAGTAAAGCCGGAGTCATCTATCCCATCTTTAAGTGGAATGTTAATGGCATAATATTTTCCTTCTCTTTCTCCTATATCCTTCAAATGAGAGTCAGGTAAATCAATATGAAGCAGCACAATCATTTAAAACGAAGCTATATAAAGTATCATCGTTACTGAGAAGAACATGGCATGTTTTATGTTCATTTTCAACCTTGCCCTTTTTGTAGCACACTTGCTCTACCTTCCAGTTATTTGGGATATTTTTATTTAATAAAGTTGCCTAGTAGTACAGTGGATACATAACAAATTAACATACTACAAGATTCAAATGACGGGCGTATATGTGCACATGTTTTTTTTTTGTCAGCCCAGATGACAATTAAGCATGCGTATACGAATTATGATGCATTCTAGTATGACGTTTTTCAAATACATAACCACCTGAATTCCCAATTACAATGGTTGATATTTAAATAGAATAACATGCCAAGAATCTCCAGTAAAAAAAACCAAAGTTCAACTCTATGATGTTACATATTTACAGCCTCTTGGCGGGTAGAACTAAAAAGAAACAAGATTAACTGCTCATAAACAATTACCTACAGGTGCTATCAATTTTGTGCATTACAAAATCAACTGGGGACCATCTTTGGTTAATCTGTCTCTTCTTTTTTCACACAAATGAGAGTACGCATGTCACACACACTTCATGCGAAAAGGGTAAGGATAAAACAGAATGCAGAGAAGGGCCAATCACCAACCACATCATACCAAAAAGTACATAAAAAATATTCAGGAGCTTGTTAGTGGAACATTACCTTAATATCACCTGTGCCAGGGAAGAAAAAATCACCATACTTGTGGAAACTTACAGTCATTACCCTGCAAAATCAAAATAAGTATACAATATTAGTATACCCTGCAAAATCAAAAGCCCGAGACTGGAATTAGTATAAATATTATGGTACCACCAAAATTCACAAAATGCACAGAGATGGAAATTGGATTGGAAAAATATTGGCAGCAATAAATGATTAACTACATATCCATGACTTTATTGGAAACAGCATGAACCTGTCAGTGAAATAAAAGGCTTCTTCAACTCCATCCCCGTGATGAACATCGATATCAATATAGAGAACCCTGGCATGGTATTGAGAAGCTCAGAATCCAAAAAAGAT